GACCAGACACTTGACATCAATTCAACGAGGAAAATCCTTTCCTAGTCTCACGATAGATATTTCCACTATCATTGATTGAGATAACCCTTGGGAGCTTATCAGAGAGTTCTCACCTTGACCCTCAACTTCTGTGAATTTCAGTTTCATCATCAGAGAAAACCACGCGCCGAGGAATAATTTCCTCCATTTTCATTTTCGATTAATTTTCGAAGAAAAAATTAAAAACAACTTTTCTTTAATTTAGAATCCCGTGCCGCAATCATTCCTGGATTCACCAGAAAAATTGATTGCTCATCAGAAATAAAATGTAGCAATAAAAAAAATTTTTACTGCTCCAATTAATTATATGTAACAATATATAAAAATAATTGATTATTTATATTTTTGTATCGAAAAAATGTGAATGTATATAAGATAAGAATTATTATTAATTATTATTGTTATGATATACAAATTTAATCATAATTAAACTATTATATTAATATCCCCAGGTGAAACTGCAGTTGCAATTTTCAGTTAAAGCAACAATTTAATTGTCTTTTACATTTGTAATTAATATAATTAAAATGCCTTCGGAAAATCTATTTTCTTGTCTAGAATATCAAGCCCCGACTGAAATGCATTTTAATCTCCGTGTAGATAGGATTACAGGGGGTTTCGATTGCAATCCGATCGTTCGAACTGATTGAGTTGGGAAATTGTGAGAATATTGGAGAACATTTGGAGGATGCATCCGGCGATGACAACTACAACTGACTGATGAATTCACGTGTTGAAGTGGAGGTACCTCATGATTATTCACGATTGCGGATCTTGGATGAGTGAGATAATCGATTGGAACTCAACGCCACTGGAGTGCGAAGTTTATCGGTGATTTAAATATATGTTTTCGAGATCTCCCAGGATTCGTGATCGTCGAGATAATCGGTTGTAATTGGATACCAGCTATTGATTATCGGTGTGAATGGCGGGTGATGGGTTAAATAACCGACGTCTTCGGAATTTCCTTTTCTGAATAACGCAATTTAGTCATCTAATTCCTGAAGTCAATAATGGAAAAATGCTTTGTCTTTAGAGTTGATCTTTTCAAGACCCTTCTTCTTGAAAAGATCGTTTTGAGGTCGAATGATGGCGCGAAAATTTTCCCCATTCCTTAATCAGTGGGATTTTTCGTCTCGTCAATATCGTTTTTACGTCATTGCTCGGGAGGAAAGTTGGATTATGATTTGTGTTATTATTTAATAAACATTGATCAAGGAAAGTGACTTGGCAAAAATTTAATTCCATCGACAATCTCCCATATTATAATAAATAAAAAAATCCCCATCCCCAGGAAAAAAGTATCTTTTCCAAAATCGAAAAAAGTACTTCCTCCTTTTCCACTTGAATTATATCTTTTCGAGAAAGAACGACATCGTAAAGAATTCAGGTCAAAGGATCAAAACAATTATTCAAAGTGCTCCATCCATTTCTAAAAGCACTCAAAAAGCGCATCCCATGTATCTATGACAACAATACATCACTCCCCCCTATTTTTTCATTCTTATCGGATGCAGCACTCGTCTTAACAGTTTTTCGAAGTGAAGAAAAAAGCAGCTGAAATGAAAAACAATGGACTAACGAGGGCAGAGTGGACCCCGTTGAAAATGGAGATGTAGCCAGTGGATAGAGAAAAGGTATGAGACTCGTTAGACTAATGGCTCCTTTACTACTGATACACTGTACACCGTTGATTCCCTATATAAACCAGTTCAAGGATGCTAAGGGCTTCAGTCTCTTGAATATCTTGGGTGCTTGCACATTACATCCCTTCTACCGAGAAGAAAATGGTGAAGTTTGTCATTTTGGTGGGTCTTGTTCTGTTCAGTGAGGTTCATGGTAATCATTTTCTCAATAATATTATCATCAATTAAAAGAGCCCCTAGAGAATCTGTTCTGCACCTTTCAATCCGCTCTATAAATTTTATCCGGAAATTCTGGAATATATCGGATAGCAGATAGCAAAAGAAAAAAATGCAGAATGAATAAATAAAAAATAACGGAACACTCTGGAAAATCCGTGAAATATTCCCCAGGCGGCATTTCGCTTCGGAATAATGCAGCAGATACGTAATTTTTATTAAATATTGTTGTCAGAGTGCGGAATGAAAATAATCGCGAGAAATTTTGTCCTCAGGGATTCCTAACGGCGCTCGGAGCCCAGATGATTCATCAGGTTCTGAGAGAGCCAGAGCAGACGGTTGGATTACATTCTCTCCCTCTTGGCCATTCTCTTCAGTAAGCAGCCTTTTCCGCAACAGCGAATCCAATGAAAACGAAATGAAATTACTGAAGAAGCGAATCGAGAATCTCGAGAAGTCCCAGAAGTCCATCGTCGAATCGTTGAAAAGAATAGACCCGGGTAATTACCGCTATTTCCAAATAATTCATAAAACTTTAGCCAATGAAGTCCTCGAGTGATGGAGAAAGTAAAGAAACGAGTGAAATCTCATTATACAGGTGAAGTCAATTCGGCATGCAATACCACTGAGAGCCCTCACGGTGAAAAGCCGATACTGCCATTGAAAAACGAAGGAATTAACAACAAGAAGAAACCACCGGTTAAATCTATGGGTTCTCTAACTTCTTCAGTCTTAACGGCCACTGATCATTTGCCTGGGGAAATAGATTCAACGATTCCATTGGTGAACAGCAGAGTCGAAACAACTGTTCCAGTTGCCAGTGAAAAACCGATAACTAGTACCACCCAGCAATTCGGCAAATACAACCGATATTCAAGTGGCAATCCTGACAATAGGCAAATTGTCAAAGTAGACAGCATCGAAACTCCACCGAATCACAATCAGACGTCCAATGTTTTTAGTACCGAGAGCGTCAATTTTGCGCATGAAAAAAGTACAACTGAAGTTTCTTTTTCATTGACTTCACAATTGGGATCAATCGTCGCACTTGTTTCACCTGGAAGTACCAAGCTTAATGGACCATTTGAGAGTCCAGCAACAATTGA